CAACGATGGAACTAGGGTATAGCCAGGTGATTATGCCCTGTTATTTACCATTCCCTAGAACAAAGCAAGGCTGAATTTGTATTAGTATAACTATAGCGCGATGTGAAATGTTCCCGTAGTACGAATAGAAGTAAAAGCCGCTTACCTAAGCTCCATTTCGGCGTATAATAGAACTGGTTGAACCTAGCATTCTATTAGAGGCTCTGAACAACGTATTTTAGATCACAACGCGAAATTAAACTAAAGGGTTCACGTCGCGTCGTTTTAATCGAGCAGACCTTGTCGAGTTTTGCAACGAAAGCAGTGTTAAATGAAGTATTGTCTATTTAAACTTAGTCTGCCTGGGGCTTAACATGATATCACTATATTAATAATTAAAGGAACTCTCAGACATGAACCCAGACTTATATGAGGAGGTAAAGTTTTGTTATTTAAGAATGCAGTTATATCACTTTTCTTGCAATTTTAAACATATGTGCAATAGATATTCTTATTCAATTTACCTTAACTGATTATATAATTAAAAAAAAATAGAAACATCCTTTAAGCCCATCCCTTTTACAAGTCATAATGAATTAGACTTGTCATAGTGAAAAAAATAACCATAAACTCGAGGGTTTTACTAGTACATGTCAACCTCCTTACTCCATCATCAGAAGATCTCGATGGTACGAAATTTTTGCTTATAATATGCATAAACATACTTATTTTTATGTTTAAGGGATCAGAAGAGAGTGTGATTAAGCCATAGTTCCTCCACGCTGGGCAAGTGCGGATTGGCGGACTTTACATGTCTTTTGAAAACTATTTACGTCTTCTCAGATTTTTCAGGCAGTTCTTCACCTTATTGGCAATTGGTAATTATGTCGGAAATGATTCGCACATGGATATGTCAGTGGTGCGAGATCCGGATTTGAATATGCTTCACTGAGATATTCAAGTGAACGACATACAAATATATATGTTTAACCATATTATATACTTAAATAAAATGTACACTTAATGATTACCGTTCAAGTAAACAGACATGCTGCGTAGAATTATGGCAAGATTACAGAGCGTTCACCATATAACTCTATACTTTACATACATCTATCTATACATATAATAAAATTGTAACTAAGCCGAATCTGTACATTAAATATTTTTTGGAAAATCTTATTGAAATAAACATTATTATCGAAACAGAGACCGAAACTACAGTTTTTAGAATTTTTGTCTGTTTGTCTGTCTGTCTGTTACCGCATCACAGAATAATCACTGGAGGGAATTTGATGAAATTTCGTATATGATAGCTGGTTATCCAGGTCAACATATAGGATACTTTTTACCGCGGGAAAATATCTCATTTCTAGAAAAAATACAAAAACTGCAACGTAAGAGTATACTAACATGTAAAACCTAAGAATTGGGTTTTAGTCATCTGAACGCGGGCGGAGCCGCGGGCAATGCTAGTATATAAATATAAGTTCTAATTGTTAAAATACTTTAAACATATAAAATGTCCTGATTAAAGAGATTAATATGATACGGAAGGAATGTTTAACCTTCAGGGGATGAGTTCGCTTGGCTCGACTAATCAATTTCAGCTCAGGTGAGCGGTTGGTTTTAGTTTGTAACTTGGTATTAATTAATGTTTTGTACTAGAATATTAATATCTCCCTCGTCTAGTTAAGGAAATGTACGTGAGTTTGTTAACATTTATACTACGTTGAAACTTGGTTCTGTGAGACGGGAATAATATAAATTATTATATTAAAATCTACTTAAAAATAGCTATAAAATGTTTAAGTTAATGCAGATATAATTATTAAATCTATTTGCGCCCTATTAACAAAATGAGGTTCCGTTGGGTTTTAGTACTGGTTTTTATGGCCGGTGAGTGCCACATAACCACCTGTATGTATGTAAGTGGTATGCGTAAATGCATTTCCCAAAGTATTATAAGAGGATGTAATGATTAATTACTGTTTTTCATTGTGATAATTCATTTTGTAGAAAAGAGTCTTATTTAATGCTAGCGTAATATTTAATTTAAAAAAATATAAAAAGAATATCTTAAACAGGAGCAACAAAGATAGATAGTTAATAAATATATTATAAATAAATAAAATACTCGACTGCACAAATGCCAACTAAAAAGATGAAAACTAGTTCACGTAGGAATATAGTACATATTATGCAGTCGGAGACGTTTCATTCGTACGTTTCATCTTTGCCGCGAGATGTATATACTATGTCCGAGATATACGTACCGACTGAACCAATTTAGATGAAATTTGGTTGGAAGATAGTTTGAGACCCTGCGAAGGACATAAGATGCTTTTTATCCCGGAAATCATCCCTTAAGGGGGTGAAAATGGGGATGAAAGTATGTATTGGGAAGCAAGCAAGGGACGAACCCGAGCGAAGCCGAATAAAATAACATGGAGTCTATAAACAAGACTTACTTAATACTAGTACTTTGGTGTAGTAGCAAAGCGAGGGTGGGTCAGTGGTTATTTCATAAATTATAAGCTTGGTTATTATTAGGTATTAACAATTAACCTTAGATTATTAATAATATATCTAAATAATCTAAGCAATTAACATACATTGATCGATTATGGTTACTAAATTTTAAATAATACGATTAATATAGTTGAATATAGCGAATTATAATTGAGTAAGTGTTATGCAGTACACGTCTCTGAAACAGCTTTATCACTACTTGCTAGTGGTTCGTACTTCGTAATCATCGATAATGAATCTCTTTGACAATAAATTCTTATAACAAACTGTAGATATAGTAAGAATAATTAATTGCAGTCGTTTCAATTATATCGTGAGTGAATAACGATATTACTTTATAATTTTCTTTGTTGTTTAAGTTATTAAAAAATATACAAGTACTTTCAAAACTTGATTAAACAGCTCTGACATTTTCTATAATCGGAAACAAAAATATTACTTTATTCCTCTAAAATAAACATAAAGTTGATAAATTCTTAAATTACATAAGAAATAACTAATAAAATATTTTTACTATTACCAAAAAAAAACAAATTTACTATATTATTCTTTTATATATTAAAAATAAACTATAATTGCGTCTGTCAAGGCAGCTCTAAGCCATAAAGAGAAAAAAAACGAATGATAGTTTTATGTTATTTTATGTATAGTTGTATTCTCTTTTCTTAAAAATGAAAAATCCCCTGCCCATGAAAAAAAACGCCTTATAAAAAATAATAGCAATTAAATAGCTTGATGTTATAACATTCTTAATCTAATGTGTTTTTGTACAATGTGCATGTTTACAGTTAAATCTTAGATAAAGTGGTTTGGCTACAAGAAGTTTTTGACCAATTCTATATTATATTATGATTAGACTCATCGAATCGAAATAAATGATACCAAACTCAATTTTAAAATGTTCATACACATGAAGAATTTTGCACCTCATTTTTTTATTATTAGGACATTTCCACAGTATAAATAAAATATTTTCAATTTTACAGAATCTGGATTTTACAGGTTTTTAAGGTATAATCAATACGACTATAATAATTAGAAGTAGCTTTAAATTGCTCTTTAAGATTTAATAAAAATTCTGCCATCTAAAAATAAATTCTACCTCTTTGAGGAGAAATAGGAAATATGAAGGTCATGTAAAAATAGGATAACTAAGGTACAAAAAAGTTAGTTCAATTGCATATAGCAAGCACAGTCTTTTTATTATTAGAGTTGCAGAAAATATTTCTAAAAATAAGATATTTTTCTCCAACCCAAAACATACTCTCTTTTCTATTTCTTTTCTATTATAATTCCTATGTAGAGCAGCAAAAACTTATTATAGAGACAATAAACAGTAAGGGTGACGGTCGTGTTCATAAAATAATATTTTATTACGTGTTATGTAACGAAGGTGCTCTTTTTCAACCGACTCTACCTAGCTTTTTAAGAAATAATAATGAAATATATGAAGGTTTGTATATCTGTTTGTGATGTACCACCTCCTGATCTACTGCGATTAAATAATTATTTTGTACACCCTAAGGATGGTTTCTGACGTAGTATCTAGTGATAGGTGGCAAATAAAATATATGTGCTATTTTACACTAAGGTAAAATGCGAGGGTCACTCATATTGTATAAAAAATAAAATATGTTTAAAAAAAATATTATACTACATTTCTGAAGCGTTATAACGTAAGACGACGACGAAGACGTAAGTCGTAATTAACTATATTAATGCTTCATTATAATAATATATTTTGTTTTGTTATGAACTAAATATGTATCCAGAAAATGAAAAACTACAAAGAAAGAATTGTATATTTATCCTGTATTTTTGTTTATACTACGAAATGTATTTCGTATTCATACCATTTCATTAAAATAAACATAGCGAGTCGTGATATTGTGGCGCATGGCTTAGAACTCGGAAAAATTCAGCTATCATCTAAAACGTTCCTGGAGAAAAACGATTTCCCCTTATTATCTTCAAAATAGTCATTCCTGTCTCCCAAGAGTAATGCCCCAAGAAAACGTTATTACATAAGTATTTTATGATAGCGTTTAAAGGGAACACGTTTTGTATTAAGGGAATATTTTGCTTGTTTAAGACCCTCGTGAATAATACACGGGCGTATTACAAATACAATTACCTTCGAATACGAGTTAGAAAAAGGTTGAGTTCTCGATTCACATAGAGATATCTCTGTAAAATATATTTTGATAACAGCTGTAGAGAGTCAAATCCACAGGTTAAATCGTATTACTTTTGGGCGTAATTTAAAGAAAATTCCTTATTCATATTGAAATAATCTTATCTCTCAAATTTATTTATCTTTAAAATGTGATAGGTAATAAGTTAAACAACAAGATTAAGTAAAATAAAAATTTATTTACAAAGATTTATACGTTTTTTTTGTTTCTCTTTCGTTGAAAAGATAATATTCTCTAAAATGAACGTTAATAGAAAAATATACAAGATAATATTGGTTCATAAAGTTAGTATTAGTAAAATGCTTGTATTCCAGTGATAGCTCTACCTAAAATCAAAGCATGAATATCATGTGTACCTTCATATGTATTAACGGCTTCCAGGTTCATCACATGTCTTATAATATGATATTCATCTGAAACTCCATTTCCACCGAGCATGTCCCTAGCAACTCTTGCAATTTCCAAAGCCTTACCACAGTTATTTCTTTTAAGAAGTGATACCATTTCGTGAACTAATAAGCCTTCATCCTTTAGACGTCCTATGTGTAAGCAAGACTGGAGACCGAGACTTATTTCAGTAATCATGTCAGCCAATTTCTTTTGTATCAGCTGGTTCGAAGCGAGCGGCCTTCCAAATTGTTTCCGATCTAATGTGTACTCTCGCGCGATTCGCAAACATGTTTCAGCCGCACCAAGAGCGCCCCAAGCAATCCCGTACCGCGCGTTATTGAGACATCCGAAAGGTCCCTTCATACCTACTACATTGGGTAATAAATTCTCCTCTGGTATAGTTACGCCGTCTAGCAATATCATGCCCGTTTCTGAAGCTCGTAAGGAAAATTTACCCTTAATTCTGGGCGTGTCCAGCCCCTTTTTAACTTGAGACCGTTCGACTATAAAACCTCTTACTTTATTTTTATCTTCTTCGCTCTTAGCCCAAATTACGAGTATATCTGCTATAGGGGAGTTCGTTATCCACGTCTTAGATCCATTCAAGATATAAGATTTTGAATTCGAATCGTATTTTGCTTTCGTAACTAGTGCACCAGCGTCACTTCCATGGTTGGGTTCTGTTAATCCAAAGCAACCAACTAGTTCGCCTTTAGCCATTCGCGGTAAGTATTTTAGTTTTTGTTCCTCTGAACCATACATATATATAGCACCCATTGCCAAACTGCTTTGCACACTCATAGCCGATCTATATCCTGAATCCACACCATCCAATTCTCTGGTAATAAGGCCATAAGTGACAGATGACACTCCTGCACAGTCATACCCTTTAATGGTGCACCCAAGAATTCCTAATTCACCCATTTCTTTGTAAATCGCACGATCGAACACTTCGTTTCTATTTGCCTGAACCACTCTCGGCATTAGTTTCTCTTGACAATAAGCTTTCACCGAGTCCCGAACAGCCTTTTCATCGTCATGTAATTGTCGATCTAAATTCAAGGGGTCTTCCCAGTTAAAAGCCACTTTTGAATTATTTCTACTTGTTGTTGATAACGTTCTAATATTGCTACAATTACAAAAACTACCCCATAATTTAGAGAATTTGGTTAAATTAATGGCCATTTTAATTATTATGAATGTCCTAGCTAGTTCTATATTCAACGAAAACAATATTATTATCAGTTAATAGAACTTTCCACTAATGTTCATTCACTGCCGATTATATTTTAATTAACTATGACTATTTAAAGGACACTTTCAAGCACTTTCTTTATTCTTTATTGATTAACACTACTGAAATAAGTCAAAAACTTCATAGTTATGATTTAAAAATATGTGATAAGCAAAAGTAACCTCACATGTGACCTAATGACAACACACTGTTTTTAATAATATCATCCGCGGCTCACTTCACACGTACGTCACTTGTTACTAACGTAATATCTTACGCACATGTTTATTTCGCTGAGTTCACTCCACTTTGCTAACATTAAAACTATAGGCGCATAGAACGAAATAGTTGTCAACGTTTTTCCTATTATAATAATAGATATAATTTTAATTTGATTACAAAAATATTAGCAATGATATCAAATAAGTTACAAAAATCTAATCTTAAGGTAAACTCTAAAGATTGATTTTTAGTCAAATAATAATTTTCTTCTGTAAGTTCAGTAAGTCTTGCTGTTTAACTGATTTATTATCCAAAAAAAATATAATGTATGTAAAAATATGATAGGTATAAAATAATTTATATAATTCTTCAATATTAATTGAATGAATTATCGCTTAATTCTCGTCTTTCTACTATTTCACGGGAGTTTTTTTATCTTCTGAGAAAAATTCTAAATAATTGAAATGTTGAAAAGAAAATTATGTTATCTGTACATTAATAATTAAACTAGCTATTTAAATTTAAATATTACTTTTAATATTTATCTCGGTGCAAAATAATAACGAACGCTATTTTTAAAACATATTTATTAAAAGCAATTTAATTTTTTTATTTACATAATATTTGTTTGCAATAACTTAATCATCCCGTGATAATATATAAAATTCCATATTGCGATAGTAATAATTTTGTTGCGCTTTGCAAGTAAGCTGCAGATTGATGACAGTTATTGAAATTTTACAATCGCTTATGCTTCATTTTTACTACTATTTTATGCTTCATTATTATTTAGTTATAGTGTTATATTATTTTAAATACATTATTTAGTTTTATTATATTACTAAAATTAATTAATATGTTATCAATTCCCTATAATATGAGTAACACATTATTGTGGCTGTTCGTTTTCACATAAAAAACGTCAAACCAGCTTTGGAATACGTATTCGATAAATAAATATACATATCACGTAATTTCAATGACACGTGATGTATTTCTAGACATAAATGTGTTTCTTGTGTCTTTATTAACCGACTTCCAAAAAGGAGGAGGTTCTCAATTCGTCGGAATCTTTTTTTTATGCATGTTCACCGATTAGGTACTCGAACATGCCTGAACCGATTTGGAAATATTTTTTTTTGTTTCAAAGGGTGGTCCTTTCCTTTAAGTCCTTTTCCCAGGTGGTCCCATATAAATTTGATCGAAAGCGGTCGAGCAGTTTTAAAAAAATCAATAATGATTTTTTTTTATAAATTGTTTAAACGAATATTATGTTATTAAAAAACTTTACAAATTACCTGCTTATTACGTCTACACTAAAAATGGAAAAATAAAAACTTGAAAAAAAAAACCGACTTCCAGGCACTAAAATGTAAAATATAACTAAACGTGGGTTTTCATTTAGAATATACCTAATCAGATATTTTGGAAGTCGGTGTCAGCCGACAATATTTTAAGATATGAATATCTAATACGTAAATATGTATTTTAGGTATCGAAATATATTAGATTTGCTTTGCATCGGCTTTTGTTTGGTTTTTAAAAAGTTTTTATTTTAGTTACACAAAATTATTGATCGTCTTATCTTCTGCATCGATATAGTTAATGTAGTAGAAAATAACATAGACTTTTTATCTTGATATATGAACTATCAAGTGGCAAAATATAACTAAAACGCACGTCTCGTAGTTAGAACCTAATCGAAGCGAGGCCCTAATTGGTTAATGAAAGGGTTATTTTAATATTAGACAGGTTAAATATAAATTAGCAGTAAAACTCATGCTTATGATCATTTCTAGTTTTTATACTTCATATTTTTATAATGCAAAAAGTAAAGCACGAAAATATTGACTATGCATTTTTAAACCAGAAAGCTGCGAGTTAAAAACTTTACTATGTCGTGAGTGGTTTCAAATAGCGGTAGCATTTGGATGATATTTTAAATTAAAAAGTATAAAAAATAAATAGAAAACACTCGCCGTAGATATATTCCCGCTGTATTTGTTTTTAGTTACATCAACAAGATATGAAATGTATTTAATGATATAATAAAATTATATTTTTATCTTAATGTAAATATTGATACGTTATATAATTTCTACTCAGATATATTACGTTATATAATTTCTACTCAGATTCACAATGTGGTTTAGTTCATACATTATAATACATTCTACTATTATGTCCCTAAAAGATAAGGGAAATATTTCCGGATACTTTGCTATGTGAGATGAGAAGCGTTATCGTACCGTTTTATGTTTTCTTTACATATGCTAGGTAAAAATATTCAAATATATATTAAAGAGAGGCTTGCTTTCAATTCAGTAATAAACCTTTAATAGCTTATATATAGTTATAAAAATAGTTAAACCTGATATACAGTTCTAATTAAAGTAATAAAATTAAATTAATTTTAAATTAATTTATTAATTAAAGTTGCTTATGAAGTAGATTTAAATCAGTCGAAATTTGTCGCAAATGTACACACAAATCTGCAAAGAGACATCGATTGCCGTTTAATATATTAGTTAGTTTAGTTAGTCAATGTTATTTCAGTTATGAAGACATATAATAAAATTGTTACGGAGTCGAATCTGTTTAAAAAATTTTTTTTTTAATTAAATATTTTTTTTTAGAAAATCTTATTGAAATAGTCATTATTATCGATACAGAGGCTAAATCTATTGTTTTTAGAATTTTTGTCTGTCTGTCTATGACCGCATCATGAGAAAACCACTGAACAAATTTTGATGAAATTTGGTATGATGAAGGTGGTTATCCGTGTCAACATATGGGATACTGTTTACTGCAGGAAAATAACTCATCTATGAGAAATTTATACTAAACGCGTAATTATATAATGAAAATATAATTAAACGCTAGTATTAAATAATGAATAATAGTCAGATGAGGTAAGAAAAATTAATTTATAAAAACTTAGATACTAGCTAGCTCTACCCATGTACAAAGAAAAATAATCAAGAAACACAACAAAATAGCCTTAACTTACGCGGTGGCTGTGGACAATGTCCTCTTATTTATGTCCCGGAGCAAAAACCAACGTTATGAGTACAAGAGCCGTTTTACTTTCTTTGCACATGTTAAGAGTTTTTGTGATATACGCTAGTGATCCGTATAAAAGCTGCCTGTGTCTAAGCTAAGTTTCTATTTTAGTAAAATACATGGTAAATTAAAAGAGAAATTTTATTTTAAATCTTGTAAATATATAAACAAATAATAGACGATTGGTTTTAAACTCATTATCAGTATTACAAAACTAAGACTAGGAATATAAGAAAAAGTCAACTGCTGTTGTAGTAAAAGTCAGCAGATGTCTGAAAACGTAATTTTTTACTTTCTTGAGGGCTTCCATTTTTTAATAAAGTTTAACTTTATACTATGATCCTTCATCGGAAATTGACAAACATTTTACAGCGCTTCTGCCATAAAAGTAGATCACTTGGTAAAGGATATCCGAAGACCGTAATACTGAACTGAAATTTCTATAAATTATTCACTCTCTATTTGCATGACAAACGACGCCGGAGAATCGTGAGGTCTTAGACCCTAATAGCACCTTGGCTCCTTGTTAAAATGCCCTTAGTTGGTACCCACTCCACCCTTTCGCACTCCTAATGTATGAACGTCAGTCTTTAATGGCCTAGTGATTTTTCCACTCATATGCAAATGCCAGATTAGCATACATTTCGTTCTTGCTCGCTATTTTGCTGTTGAAATCTTGGACAATGATATGTTTTTATTAATGTTCCTCGGCTGTGATAAATGATACGTTTTGTGGATAAAATTTTGAAATTAAAATTTTGTATACATTTTGCTTGGTTCAGTGTTGATCTGCAAATCAATTTAATATGGATTAAAAAGAAACAAATAAATTGAACCTAGTCAAAAATTTCACTTTAAAATTCTATGGATTATAAAACCTATTAAATAATATATACTCCAGTAGATATTGGGTGGGTAAATTATTATTAGAAATCAGGGAGGTATTTTCCGCTATTAGACGTTTTGTAGAAGGCGAGCCATAAGGAAAATGCAACTAATGTCTAGAAAATTAAATATTCAAGCAAATAAAACGGCAGACGCGGCTAAGAGCGTATTATAAAATCAGAAGCTCAAGTAGGTAAGTGACGTTCCCAAATTAGAACATCACAGTGAATTCCTCCGTAACATAAATGGAATAGTCGTGTAGTTTGAGCCTTGAAATACGAGATAATCTAAAGTACATTACATAAGTTAGAATATTTGATGCCCAAGCAAAGCTAGTGATTTCTCTGCTTAAAGCATGTTTGGATGACGCAATGCGACACTAAAACAATTTAGGCCAATAATTGGATGATTTTAGATCATCATCCCTGTATAAATTAAATAGATTAGTTTTTTTTTTAATATTAGGTATAATATTGTAAAATTCAGGTTATCTTTCATATTGGATAACAATTGTAATATATGATTTTATATAAGAGTAAAAAAATATAATGGTCCCGCTGAGAGTTTTTAACCAATTCGCGTAAGGCGCTTTATTCGACCACATCGGTGAAACGATTTTTTTATTTACGGTATTTAAAAATAGTTCCTATGTTGAACTTCATAATTGTGTTTGGATAGTGGTTTAGCTTTTATATGGGAATTTAATACAATTTTGGTATATCTCTCCTTACAATTTTTCAAAAGGGATAGTTCATGTTAGTGCTTTTTGCCTAACAACGAA